TATATATAATATATATATATATTTTATTATTTACTTATATGATATTTACAACTGTATACAAAAAATACATCTGGTAAATTCGCACATTGGTATAAAGACACGGAACACGTGTTGAGAAACTACCCATTGGTAGCACTGTAATAATATGTCTATATTAGAAGATCATCATTTTCTTTTCAGACGCCTCGGAGGGTTATCAGGAATCGAATAGGAAGCAAGGTTAGAGACAAGAGGGTTGGGATGGTTATGAAGTTTATTATGGAAGGACAAATATCTGGATTGGGCCAAATCTGATACATAAGGAACATTAAGGTCATTATGGATAATTTTATTTGTAACAAAGTAAGGAGCATTGAGGATTTTACGAAGGATTTTGGATTGTAAGGATTGTATGCGAGAGGAATTTGAAGGTTTGGTGGAGCCCCATAGCTCAACTCCGTAAGTCAAAATAGGCCTTATTATAGTCATGTAAATCAGTCTTTTATAATTGATTGGAAGGTTAGAGCGTTTGTCTAGTAAGTGTTGAAGTAGTCGGAAACGTCGAGCTGTTTCTTGTCGTTTCAGTCTGGTATGAGGATTCCAAGTTAGACGTTTGTCCAGATGGAGTCCTAGGTAACGGATTTGTTCAACAGGAATAAGTGAGGTGTTGTTAAAGGATACTGAAGGACAGGAAGTCATTGGTTTACGACGAAGTGTGAAGGTAATTTGATGGGATTTATTGGAATTTATTTTAATTCTCCAGTTCTGACACCATTCTTCAAGGTTTGTGATGTGGGATTGAAGGGTTTGAGATGCAATAGATGGGTCGTTATTAACTGATAGGATACATGTGTCATCAGCATATGTGGTGATGACAGTGTTGGGATGGGTTGGGATGTCAGCTGTATAAACTGTGTAAAGAATAGGACCTAGGATACTACCTTGAGTAACACCTGCAGACTGGGAAGGATTTACTTTAATGTATCTATCAGTAAGGTAGGAACGGATAATGAGGAAGTAGGTAGATGGTAGGAATTTGTACAGCAGTCCCTATATATATATATATATATTCGAAAGCCTTTGATTCCCAAATTCATGCCCTATATTGAAACAAAATAGGTTTAAACATAATTTAGGTTTTTTTTATAAAATAATTTTAAACATTAAAATGAAAGGATTAATAAACCCTTTATTTATTGAGATATTATAAATATTGAGATATTCCAATATGAGCATATTTCAGGGAGAGGGGGAAAGGGAATCTGGTTATTTTGATGTTTTTTTCATTAGTTCGGGGTCGGAACACAAAAGGACGTACAGCAAAACATGGTTACAAAAGTTAATACAATATTCCAGGAAAGCATGTTTATTTTATCATGTATATTTTGCTTCATTAAGGATAAAAAAACCTTTTCATGTTACATTTTATCCAGATTTTTTTTATTACGCTCTGTTCAAATAATCCGTTCAGCTATGTTATTTTGCATTATTTTCATCACACTAATTTTTCTAATAATAAATTTTAGGTTGAGTTCATTGTAATTTAAAAAAAAAAATTCTATTTTTTTAAGTCAATTTATTTGTATCTTATAGAATTTGAGTTAAGAGTTTTTCTACCTTACTGTGTAATAAACAAAGGTATAGCCCGACTGCATTGGATTGATGGAATATACAGACAGATTAATTTAAATATTACTAGAACATATTATACAGTTTAAGTACTTACATATCATAAATATTATACATAATTACGTGCCAAGTTTTGAAAAATTCTTTCTCTAAAGCATTTTTAGTTTTGTAATTACTTTTCAGTAATGAAATGTCTCACATAGTAATAATACAAAATGGGCAAATATGATTTTCTTTTCTTATTCTTCATAATATTATTGAAACTATTGACATATATAAGTGTATATTGCCTATATATATATATATATATATATATATATATATATATATATATATATATATATATATATATATATATATATTCCTGAGAAGATTTTATTTTTATTTCTTTAGTTCTAGCATATTATTATGTAAATGACTGTAGATATCATTACATTTTGTATGAAGTTAACTTTTTATTAGTTAATAATTAGTTAATAGCCTGTTGTTTGTAAATTGTGTAGTTATGTATATATATAAATATGTAATTTCTTTTTTTTTCTTCTGTCACAATAATAAGTAATTTTGAGAAAATTGCATGTTCATTTATTTTTTTGTTTTTGTTCATTGTTTAGTGGTTACATACTATTTTTTAAATTAATTTATATAATATTAGAATTTTTATAAGTTAGTTTTTGGCCAGTTTTATTTGTTTTAATACATCATTGTTATTCTAGGTTAACTTAGTCTCAGAATAAAATTAAATTTTCTATTATATTCTATATTCCGCAATCTTTATCCTTGCACTGCAGGCAAATATTAACTATTAAACAATTTGATGATTAACTGCGGGAGAAATATTTCTGCAGAATGAAAACAAATTTATATAAGTCAGAGTAGTACTATAGATGTGTGACGTATCGTTGGAAGGCTAAAGATTTTAGTTTTTCATTCACTCAGACAATTAATTCTTCTTTTATTATACTTTTTATTATTGATTGAAAAAAAATTACTATTTCATGGAAAATAAGTGGACTGTATACAGAACGTTTGGAAAACTATTTTGTTTTTCACTTTTGTAAACCAAAACTATTTAGTACACATAATATTTATAATTGATATTAATTGTTAATAATTGATGAGTAAAATAATATACTTAAGGCTTATTAAGTTTTAAAAAAATAATTGATATTGAAAGTAGGATGGTAAGTGAAAATTGTGTAATGCATTGCACCAAACTTTTATTATTTCCTTTAATTTTTTTTTTTTGTTGATGAATATATTTCAACTAATAACTTTTATACACAAAGGTATAGTAAAGCAAACACAATAAAGAGTATTCATCAGATCAAATGTCATGTGAGATTAAATTTTAATTAAAACTAATGTAATAGTTAAATGATATTCTAATGTTACGCGGAACATATATAAAATTATATTAAAATTTAATAAACTTAACAAACATACAAACTACCAAACTATTTAATTGGGAATAAGGTCACTTAATTATTATTTAATAAACTAATGAATGTTCATTTCCTCTGTTTATTGACGTTTCGATCCCGGTATTTTCTTTTTATTAGTCAACCATGGGATCCTCTTCAAAGCTAGAACTACAAAAAAAAGATTTTTTTTTTATTTATTTTTTATTTTTTGTAGTTCTAGCTTTGAAGAGGATCCCACGGTTGACTAATAAAAAGAAAATACCGGGATCGAAACGTCAATAAACAGAAGAAATGAACATTCATTAGTTTATTAAATAATAATTAAGTGACCTTACTCCCAATTAAATAGTGAAGTTTAAATTTAATACTCAAAGGTCGATTAAGGAAAAGTTGTAAACATATATATATATATATATATATATTCCCATTTAATTACTTTTCACTTCACTGATTACTATGCACGTGATGGTGAATAATTTCTAGGGCATAAAAACTTTCAAGCATTTTTGTTAAGAGTGTTTAGTGTCGACAGCAAGTCGAAACTGATATAATTAACTCTGTACTTAATACCAAAGCCTTTCATATCTGCTAAGTGAACTAAAATTTATATTCGTGCTAAATGATTACATGATGCCATTTATACAACAAAAATAAATAAAATACAGTAGTAGCAAAATAAATTTAAAATATAAACATTCTTAGTAACAGTAATAAATATTTGAAATTTAATTTGGGTTTAATCGTCACGTAACAGTTATATAATATATAGGTTATAAAATAGAGGTCATTTTGTCATGATATAATTATCTTAATTCTTAAATGAATAGTATTTGTATTACTTGAAATAATGTATAATTAGTTTAGTATTAATTAGAAAAGAAAACCTGTATTACTGCAGCCCATGAAGGGTCTTGGGTTCAGTACTTTTTAGGGAAAGCACTGTTTCTTGGTCTACGGTTGTGCAAGGAGGTGAATTGACCGAGATCACGCCCAACCACCAGTGTTTTCCCTCTCAATTAATTATTTTAATTAAGATTTACCACTTATTATTGAGGCTGGGTTGTGCCCCAGGAGGGTTCTGCAAACCCAGGATCGCCCCACGGTCAATAAAACAGAATAAATAATTTTTCTGCCATGAGCCGGGATTCGAACCCGGGACCTTTAGCATTGGAAGCTCAGTATCCCGCCACTGAGCTACCACACTATCTTTAGTCTTTCTTAGTTTTTAATTATTAATTAGTTTTAATTAGTTCTTCATCATTAATTTTACTGCTAATATACAGGGTTCCTCAGTTCTTAATGCCCAAGCTCTGGGGAGTGATTATAGACAAAATTTACAAAAAAATGTTCATTTTACGCATGACGAACGGAAAAGGAGTTAAGAAAAATTTTTGCGTGGCCACGTTTTTTATATTGAATTAAAAGGAATTTTTCAGAAACTGTTCAATTTAATTAAATTAAGCAGACTTTAAATTTAGTAGAATTTAAGCAGACACACATCATAAAGCAGACGAAATAGTTTTAAGAAAACAGTGATTAAATTTCCTGAGGTCATTGATAAAAGGAACATTCAGGACGTCTAAAATATCCTTTGTACTGCTGCAGTTATAGTATCCATATAAGAGCGGCATATCTCTGTACAGCGGCCGTATTAGGAATCCTGAAATTACCATTTATCCAAAGACTTTAGTAAATTTAATCACTGCTATCATAAAAATCTACTTCACGGTTGTGTACTCTGAATTTAATTATCTCGAACAGTTTTTGAGAAATGCCTTCTTGTTCAATAAAAAACTTGGTCTTGACTGTTTTTCTGTTTGGAATCGGCCCATGCATCAAAATAACTTTTGTATAGGAAATTTCGTCTTGAATAATCTCCCTTCCCCCTCCAGAGTTTGGCCAATAAGAACTGAGACACTTTTTATAAACAAGAAAACTAATTAATACCTAAGGAAAAAAAATACTCACAGTTGATGCCAAGCCTCTTAGCGATGAGGTCGGCAAGATCCTTGCAGTAGCCTTCGAAGCGGTCGTTGCCAGTCAGAGTCTCACCTGGGTCTGGTTTCCTCAGCATTATGTATGGTTCCTCCTACAACACAAAAAATAAATTCCAATTTAAGTAATACTATAATAACAGGTGAGATTGGACGGATTTTATTTACAAACCGAGACGTTATACTTTACAATGGCGAATTCGGTAGTTCGGTTCAACAGTTATAAAACCCTTTCTAAATCGGTACGTCTAAAATCAATAAAATTACCTTTATTTATTTTGCAACAACTCATCTGCTTATTGTAAAATTAATGATGGATGCGGATTTAGGTCTAGAGAAAGAAAAAAAATTCTTTATTTTGATGAATTTGTGATTTGTATTTAATTAAAAAAAAAAAGAAATGTTATTCATTTATTCTTCTTTTCCGTTTGCAACTGCGCAATACGGAGTGTAACAAATTTGATGAAACTGGATTTGCTTGATAAAACTTAGTTAATGATCAAGATCTCCTTTTTCTTTTTAATCTACATTGTGTAACGGAGTAGAAAAATGACACGAGGAAATCACGATGTTTATGAGCAGAAGTGTGAAATATGGTGTACTTGTTGTAGGATTTTACTGTTGAAATTTTTAAGTCTTTACGTATAGTGTTCTATGAAATATTCTATGGTGGGTTAACAATTTTTTTTTAATTTTCTATTGCGTTTATTGTAATTTTTTCTAAAATCTAAACTTCTCCTCTTATGTCAAAATTGGTCGCATCATCAGTATAGTGTTGCAGATTAGTTGCTTGTTTTTAAAGTTAAGCGAGGATCTGTTGTGCAGAAGATGTGAAAGGTGTTTATATCCCCTCACTATTTATTTTATTTTTAATTATATTTTTTTATTCCAAGTAAGTCTTTGTCTTTGTAGAGTCCGAGGTACCTTAGTTTTTTGTAGGCTACGGGTTGTTATCGATGGCTATAGGTAGATATGAAGCAGTCCTTAGAAAGAAACTTACGCGACTTAATTTAGTAGCGTTAATTTTAATTTTTGATCTATAGAATCTGTTTTGAATGCTAAATCAATGATTCTAACGATGATAATAGATGCTAACATTATATATTTAAAGGAAGGTGGTCTTGCTGTATCGTTAGCGAACGTAAATATGGTAGTACAAAGTTGTTCAGAAAGAAATATCCGATGGGTATGTAGAGAACAGATGATTGTGCTTAAAACGATACCTTGTGGTACACCAGTGTGGTGATGAAAGAAGTAGGAAGCAAAAGAATTTACGAAAATACAAAACAACCTGTTAAGACAGAAGTATTGATAAATTAGAATTTAAATATATATATAAAAAAAATAGAAGGTAAGTACTTCTTTTCTATAACAACTCGTAATGCTAGAAACTAGAAAAAATTTAATTCACTATTTTAATTTTTTTTTCTTCCCTTAATTAGTTGATAATAGTAGTAGAAAGAAAGATATTTAGCAAGTAGCCTAATACGGTTATTTCTGCATACATCTTTATCCTTATTGATTACTTTTGAATTGGTCAACATCATTAAAAAGAGGAATATTTTTTTTCATTTAAAATTTGTTCGATATCAACAACAACGCTGAAAAAGCCTATTATTAATGATTTTAAGCTATTCTGATCAGTCATAACTACTTCCTTTCATCACTGTCGGAAGCCTAAAGAATTCACCCTGTTTTTCGGTGGTCTCAATTCCTCACAGGGCATTAGGGTTCGCGCCAAATTTCATACATTAGTGTAGGTCATTAATTACCTATGCATCTGTTGTGTTCCGAAACCTCCTGAACATGTTGCTATGAACTACAACACTTTTGAGACAATGAGGGCCAAACTGCTGAGGGAAACTCTACTTAATATACTGAAGGAGAACGATTCCCCTAGTAAGCAAGAACAACTCCCCATACTATGAAGCTTCTGTGTACGGATGGAAGGAATCAGTGAAAGGCTAATAACGTTGATCTCATTTAATAAAAACTGATAAGAAAGCAAATTTGAAGAATGAAAGTTTATGAAATAAACGGTAGACGTGTCATGCGATGCTACTTCGAAAATCCATATTGCCGAGATGCAGAGAAGAGAGCAAATAAATAAATTAATAAGGATCTATTGAAATTGTTGAATATTTCAAAAACTATAAACCAGCACATACAAGAAATAAAAAATATTCTACTTTTGTAAAAGAAATATGAGTAAATCAAGGAAATAGAAAGTACTAAGGGGAGCTGAATACTTTTGAGCTCTTCAACTTAAGTTCAGATTAAAGTAGTTAAGAAGTTCATCTTTAGTAGTAAACTTATTGTTAATATTAAGTAGATACTATTTTCAGCACTAATTATTAAGAGAAATTCATAATTTCAGTTGTGTTTTCTCGATCAGGAATATTTCATGTGAATTTATTAAAGATTATTTTTTATTTTTCTACCTTAAAATATAGGTATAACACAATTTGTTATTCGATTCGGAATGGTCATTTTATAAAGTTGAAACGATCCCTTTGTACTCAGAATTTCCAATACAGGACCAATTAAATCGTCCTCAATTTTTATAATTGGTAGATTCAGTAGAAAGGGTCAGAGTATAAAATAATCCGGGAGAGAGAGAGACATAGAGAGAGATGGAGAGAGAAATAGAGAGAGATGGAGAGAGACACAGATGGACAGAGCATTGAACAGGTAACCGGGCCCGCTAGTGGAAAAGGTCCGGCTTAATCAGACACAACTTTACAACATCAAAGCCGAGAGTTTGCACCCACATCAGATTATGCTCTTTGTGAGCGCTTTGCCTTGTGAATTAATTCCGATTGCCACATTTCCAACGCTGGGCATCTAAATGGCCGATTTATTTTCACTGTCTTTCTTTGATAACCTTTTAGGACCTGGAGGTGAAAAAATTAATTTATTTTTTAAAAATAAATTATTGTTTATAAACCTTAATTTCAGTGTATTTGGGCGTTTGAGGATCATCTGTCAAATATTAAAAGCGAATGATATAATCCAAAACAGGCTCGATCGATTAGTTCCAAGTTTGATTCCAATTTGAGAAATTGCGTACGAATAATATATCAATTTTGTCAAATAATATTTAGCAATTCAAATTAGTGCAAGAACTAGCATACTTCAATGATAACTCTGACATTACATCGGCTATCCCTCCCTCTTAGTGTTGCCCAAATGCGAGGCCAAGACGGGTCTTGGTCTTGCGCAAGAGTCTTGCAGTTAGTTATTAGCTTATTACTGTAATTTTTTAGATAGGAGAAACCTAATTAAGCCCGAAAGAAAAATTATTGGAGTTAAATGCAAAAGTATATTGCTTATACCAATTATTTACATATAGTAACTAAGATTGTCAAGTATTATAACTGTTTCGCCTTAATTTTGATTAAAAAAATCGATTTATTTTTACCAGTCCTGGTCTTGGTCTTGTAACAGTTAGGCGGCCTTAGTCTTGGTCTTGAAAAGTGCAAGACTAAGGATGGTGCAAAGTGCAAGACTAAGGTTCGTTGGTTATTTATTTTTTTTTTTTTAAGAATCTTTAATTTGTCTTATGAGATAGTGGATTTCTTGGACAAGAGGATTATTTGAAAATAAATTGTGAAGAGCTTTCAGGGAACAGGATGTTTTATTTGTCAACACCTGAATTGAAATAATCATTTCAATAAGTAATAGGTAATAACTTCGTGCTTCAATCAATTAATAAGTACGTTTATAATAGATATCAGAGAGCATATTCACACAATAAATGTTATAATTAACGATGTTTCTATTATTTGACATCAGTTCGATCAATGTTTGCTGAATTCAATTATGTATCAATCCTTTGATGTACTTGTACACACATTCTATCTATCCCCTTGGCGAAGTGAACCTTATCGAGATTAGTACTAAAGTTAAAATGAGCTACTTTGCAATTTTAATGAGCACTGAAGGATTTCGTGAGTTGATTTCACAGTAAATACTAGTTAGAGTGTTAAGGCAAATCCCATTTAACAAGTAGATTTAACAAACAAAATTTCCATTTGAAGTTTGTTGTTTTGCTGCTTGGCTCGGATAACTTTTGTGGAACCGAAAGGTCTCAGTTCCATTACAGCACTGAATAAAAAATTATCCCGACGGTGATCTATCGGCTATTCATTAAACAAAGTACTACTCAAATTTTTAATTTTATAATTTTTTTTTGTTTAATTCTTAGAAAACGGTATCAAGTTTGTAGCTACATTTTTTTCAAAATATAGTGACAACTTAATAAACAAATAAAAATTATTCAATGAGTATTAATCTTCATAAGAAATTCAAAATTTTGTAATATTGAAATTTGAAAAGGAATTTTAGGTGGAAGGTTTTTCGCTTACTAAATATCATTTTTAAAAAATATATTTACTTTAACACTATAAGAATTTATGTTATATCTATCTTACATAATTTTTAACCCCACAGTGTCAGCTGGGTTTATTTTAAATAATATATTAAATATCATAGCTAATGAGCTTTTGTCATAGACGTTTTTGGCATAATCATTAACGTCAGGTATTTAACAGTTTGAGTTATAAATGATTGTTCATTTTTTTTTTTTATATTTATGAGGTTCTGTCAATGAATAAAAAATATCTTGCCGACTTTAAAAAAATTTATTTTTCACATACACATGACACAGAGAAAATCAAAAAGAATTTTACAGAGAATAATTCCAGAAAAAATAATAAATAAGTATTTAAAACAACTTTAAGATGTTGTGTGATGCAGTTGACTGATCGAGAGGGCTTTGTTTTGTCGTAGTTGGCTAGTATGAAAGTTCTATTCGTATCAGATAAATATTTAACGATTAATTTATAGGTTTCAGGGATGCCAGGCATTAATTTTGTGTCATTAGAACAAAAAATAAAATAACAACAAATTATACATATATATTTAGGAGAGATTTTAATGGATAAAGTGACATAGATCCTACTTCGCCCAGTGCCCCAAGTCAACTGAATCTAACTAATATGACTACTTATCTATCCCAAGCTAGAGTGTTTATAGTATTGTCCACTTATTAAACAACTGATATCTTACCGTTTATTTAATCGAGGTATGTAGT